GGTCTTCATGAACGTCACTGTGATGCCCGAGCTCCGCGGGCTGGCGGCAAAGCTCTCCCGCTCCCAATTCGGGGCCCTGGCCGGCCGCTCAGCTCGAGATGCCATCGCAGTCGTTGTTGAAGTCATTCAGCGATGTCGCCTGCGCGGCCGCAAGTCCAAGCTGGGTTCTAGCATCGCCCCCGGCATGCTCTGTCCTTATCGGTCTCGAGATAACTTTCGACCTGATTGATCGCGAGGCGATATGGGGCGCCCTCGACACGTCCGCTTGGGTGTAGAAGAGCTCCACGAGGGCACGTGCTACGTCGCCCGGGACATCCGCACCAACCGCCCCGCCAAAAAATGCTCATTCCGAAGGGGGTGCGCCAGGGAAGCACGGAGGGTTTTTATTGTTCATCGCGGTGTATGACCTCCTCACGCTTAAGCCAGAGCGCGGCCATTCCTTCTCAGAGTTCCCCATTGCGCTTGTCACTCTCGACCCCGCCCTGCAAAAGCTTCGCCATCCGCATGACTCTGGGGTCCTCGAGGGGGAGGGGAAGATCGCCGCGCCGCCTTTAAATTCGTCGACGACCTGATCGCTTTCACGATTGTCGAAAACTTCCGGACCGCCTCAAAATTCTTGGATTTCCTGAAGACCGAAATCACGAAAGGCAAGATGAAAGTCAACGGTTCCAAGACGGAAATGCTCATCGTAGCGAATGGCAACATGAGCAAGCATTGAGAATCAAATATCAGAGCCAAGCAAAAGACATCAAAATGCAGACTACCCCGATCCATGCGTCTCCCAGTGTCAAATACCTTGGAGCTAAACAACGAGATGAAAGCTCGATGGTGGAGGAGGTGCCTCCTAGGATCCAGAACGGCAATTCAGCTCATGCCCCGCTCGCGCGCCGGGCATTCAAGGGACATTTCAGCACTCGGCTGCGCGTTCGTCTGTGGTACCCCCTTATTCGCTCTACCCTCCTCTATGGCCTCGAGGTCGCAACGGTGAGCAGGCGCGACCTCCATCGATTAGAATGTAGGCAATCTCGCAAGCTTCGCTATCTATCCCGCTCGCCAGCACATGTGCACCAGATTGCCAATGAGGAGATTAGGAAGCTCACGCGGGTGGCGACGGTGGCCTCCGCGCTGCTCGAGCGCCGCCTTGCTTGGCGGGTCGGAGTTGCTCGGCCAGCGTTCTCCGACCTCGCGAATACGAGCTCCCAGGGCCCCAAGGGCCCCCCGCTGAGCCCAGAGGCGCATGAGGGCCTAGGGAACCAGCTCCTGCACCCAGCTCCAGTGCCGCAGCACGACCCCCCCCGTCCGGTTCGGGCCGTTGTTTTCGGGCGCTTCAACTTCGAGGGGCCGAGACACAAGTAAATCAATTCGCTGTTGGGACCCCTCCGCGATGACCGCCAACACCTCTGGGGAACGTTGACCCCCGCTGCCCGGCAGGAAGCCCGCGATGCTCACGCCCTTGAGGGCCCTGCCCCTGCCCCCGCCCTTCCATGGCAACGATGGCTGCGCCAAGTTCCGCGAGCCCACCTTCGACGAGTGCGGAGCTATAAGACCGACGGTGAGCGAAGAGAGCCGTTGGCACGATCCCCGACCCCGACCAGCTGACCCCGTGCCCCATGTGCCCCCGATTGCGCCAGGGACCCAAAGGCCTCGTCAATCACATGTTCTCGGTCCACAAGGAGTTTGCCGACCCCGCGGACCTCGCAGATGACCAGCTCAGATCCCTGCAGCGCCCGAAATGCCTGTTCAAGTTTAGCAGAAAGGACACGCTCGTTCGTCACACCCAGAGAAATCGATGTCGTTCTGCGCCGCCGCGGGCGGCTCAAGGCTCCGAGATCGCAGTGCCCGACCCTCCGGGCCCCTCGGCGCCGCCGCCGCCGCTCCCGACCGCCGGCCACGTTCACTCCGATTGCCGAGATCTCGAGCGGACTCAAGCGCGGGGCCGAGGACGCTCCAGCGGGCACGGCGCCAGACAGCAAGGACGAGCCCGCCAACTGCAAGTTGCAGTCCCTGGTGCGCCGCCTGCAACTCCAGCGCGAGGCCGCTCGCCAGCCGGCGGCTCGCGACGACAACTTCACGCTGACTTTGCAAGAGGGCCAGAAAATCGAGGTTGCGCTGGAGTCGGGCTTCCAGAAGTACATCAGGACAAGGAAGACGGCTCGGGCGAGCGAGGACTTCGCTGGCCACCCCATGGGAAAGAAGCCCGATGCGTGGTTCAAGATGGCCATCTTCCGCCTCGCCGAGGCCGCGACCAACGATCGCGCCAAGCTGATGTCGGCAATCGAGCAGGGGCCCCATCCGAATGAGCCGCCGAGGCCGCGAGCGTCCTGGGGCGGCGGGGCACCAACGTTCAGAATCCAGATTTCATGGTGAAGGCCACGAGATGCTTCAAAATCAAGCTCACAGCGAGGGCGAGGACCAGGTGCGCTGGATCTGGGCGTGCAACCACCACGTGGATCTCAAGCGCGCGCTGACGGTGCTGCGCACAACGGCGGGATGGAGTCGGTCAGCGTGCTGCTCGGTCGCGATCACGGCCCTCGCTCCAAGATTGCCAAGCAGATCCTGCGGCTCGCCTTTCGCGACAATCGCAAGCCCGCAGCAGACGGCAAGAAAAAGTCTCGCCGCAAATAATCACGACAAAGCCGATGAAAGCCGCTCTGGATATTCGCAGACGTGCATCCTCACTGACTTTGCCACTTCTTTTCACGCGTCAGAGAGTATGGTCAGCAAGCGCGGCTGAACAGATCATATGAAGGTGAGTACCTCTTGTAAGGTGATTCCCCAAGCAATAGGGTACATGTCTTACCGCTGTGTGCCCAGTACTTCACGCAGTTCTCACTCGATGAGGTGGGCCGTGCAACGCCTATCCTTTCTCCGCGGCCAAGTGGACCTCAGTGGCAATGAGATCTTTGGTGGGCCTTATTGTTATCAAGTAACCTACAATGAGGGCCCGACCGTAACCTACAATGAGGCGAGGGGCAACCAATGAACCCCCGCGCGCTGCTGCAGGAGGACGCGTAGTGGAGGGTCTGCTGAAACCAACCGAAGCCGGTGCGTGAGATGCCTATTCACCACGAGAGATGGATCCTAGAAGGGGGCGCGAGTCGAGACGCGGGCTGCCACGGATCCACACTCACGCGCCCCCGCCTCTGCGGAGGCGGCACAAAGAGCGTGGCCCTCTAATCCCCCTCTAGGGCCGAGGGGCCAACAAAAACAAAGCTCCAGAGCAAACGGAGGAGACGGGGCCCGCGGTGCTTCGAAAAAAGGAAATAACATATGCGCCCCCAAGAGATGGCAACATGTCTGGGTCCAGGGATTTCAGCACCCGCCATCTGTTAAGCCAAAGCAGCGCTTAGAACCAACACGGCGTTCATGTTGACCCGTGCCCAAAAGAGGGTATCGCTTAGACGTAACAGAAACCTTTCGCCGGAGTGACTTTTGGTGCGGGCCACATGGGCTCCCCCGATCGCCGAGCGCGAGGCGGCAGTGGCGTCTTGCGCGCTCGTGTTTGGCCCCCCCGCGGCCCCCCCAAAGCCGCTCACCAAAGGCCACTCTTACCCAGTGTCACTCTTGCGTGTAGCCGAGGGCTGTCCACGATGAGACAGGCTTTGGGAATTTTGCCGCCCTGGGGACCAGAGAGAATACCAGGATACGGCCCGCACCGACAACGACTCCGAACCCCGACGAGCAGCGGACACGGTGTTCCGGCTGTGCACCCGTGAGATCGAAGGGGGGAGTGCATGCGCAGCGGGGGTGGTGCGTCGAGTCGTTTCTGTGAGCATGTCCGGGAGGGGCTCTCGTGTTTGTAGGCGGGTCTGCTCTGCAATGCGTGCGTTCGTGAGGTCGAAGAAGGGGGAAAGCGCAGTGGAGTGGTGCGCCGAATGTTTTCTCGGTGATCTCGTTGGGGAGGGGCCCTAGTGTCTGTAGGCGGATCTGCTTTGCAGTGTTGGCGCAGTGCCATGGCTGTTTTCCTTTCTTCGAGGCGACGCCTCGCATTCATGTATTATCCAGCTGCCTCCGGAAATTCCGCGACCGTGTCAGTGCGGCATTCTAGGTGGCAAGTGCTCGAGGCGGCAAGGTGGCCTGTTGGGTGCCTCTTGGGACAGAGGGCTAGAATTCTGCGTTCGTGTTCCTCTTCGTGCGGCCGTCTTGTGGCCCTCTTGAGCCGTCTGGGATATCCCGTCTTGGAGCTCCATTTGGGGGCTTCTTGAGCATTCGGGGGGCGCCTCTCGGGCCGGCTTGGGGCCCTCTGGGGCCGTCTTGGCGCCCTCTTGGGGGCCTCTCGGGCCGTCTCTTGGGGCAGTCTTGGGAGCCTCTAGGGTCGTCATGGGACGTCGGACGCTCGAAAAATCGAGAACCCGAAAAACGTAGAACAATTCCAGGAAGATCAGCAGTGGTTGCCTCTCGAGGCTCTCTTGGGAAGGCTCTTGGGGCTCTCTCTTGGGACGCCTTGCCCCGTCTTGCAGCGATGTTGGGCCGTCTTGGAGGCATCGGGGCGTCTGCCTGGTGGCGCTGTCGTAGGAATAACACGTATATAACTGAGAGGACTGTGCCGAAAAGGCGATGGTGGCAGAACTGGAAAAGCACAGCAGGTCGTGCGCTACAACGGCTGGTAGCAAAAGGAACACGGACCTTAGAATGGGTGGCGGGGGCCTTAGACAATTGCAGAGCACCTGCCAAACAGCACTTGGCATTCTACCACGCCTCCGCCTGCACCAGGCACGGTGGCGGATCACCCTGCGCACATCATGTCTGTTGAGTTGTTTTGCGCTGTCTGGTGGCCATTTCCCCGGTGGTGCCTGGTTTCCCCCCATGCTTCATGCTTCTAATGCACGAACAGACATGATGCTGTAATTTCCTGGACGCGTGTGGTGTATCGATTGCCTTGCTTGCGCATGTTGGCATGCAGTACGGTGCGCTGTTTACCCAGCCCTCTCAGCTTCGAATCGTATCCCCCTTCACTCCGCAGTTCAATTTCTGCCATGATAGTGTTGCCCCCCTTGCAGTTGAGCTCGATTCCCAAGAGCGCATCATTTGGAAAGATCATCAAGGCGAGCACCATTACGATTCAGGACTTTCTGGTTGGGATGGAATTGCGCCTCCCGGCCACAATCTGTGCATTTGTTCATGGGCGCGCCTATTCCAAGCTTGGTCGACCGGGGCGAAGTAGTAGTTATTGAAGGCGCAATCGCTGTGGCAGCAGAAGTAGCAGTACCATATGATATCAGTAATGAGGCTGTGTTGCCCTTCTAGAACATGTGTCATGAGTTGCGGCTGCGGCCACCATCGCAAATACGAAGTTCAAGCAACAGAGACCTCGACGCGAGACTGGACGCAAGCGCCACACACTTGCATCGCAGGGCTGATAGAGACAGTAGACGCGAGGTCCACAGTCGTAAGTTGAGGCGGGATTTTCAAGGAACACCCCTGGCAGGGGGGTGCATGTCGATCCCTCTCGAATCGTTCCCCGAGCTGGGCACACCCTGCCCACAGCGTCACCGTGTTTGTCTTGCACGTGGGTTCTCCGGGGTCGCCCAGATATTTGTAAGGGCTGCGCATGTGCATTCTTTCTGATAAAATTGAATTCATAGGCGGCACTGTTTGCATTCTTACAAATAAGCAGCCGGCTTTCCAGACTTGGACTTCAGAAGCGTGTCGTTGCTGAAAGCTGAGAATCGGCAGCAGAGCAAACAGCTTGTTTCGAGGATGGCACGATAGCAACGAATCCCACGGAAACAATTCCGAACAGTTGTGCCACGTTCGATACGCGGCCAGGCGCAATGGATGGTTCCCTGATTGGCCTGCTCCTGTATGTGCGCTTTTGCTGCGCAGCCGCTGTCTGTATTCGGATCGGCCCTCTGCTCGAGGCAGGGAGAGTAGTAAACATCTGGGATCGAATAGTTACTTGGTTGCTGTGTGAATGCCGGCGTGGAGACTATCTCCCCTGATGGCCGGGGTCGTGGCACGGCGGGGAGATTCTTCTTGTTGTTGCGAGGCAAGGTGGGCAGAGGCAAACGTTCTCGCTGGTTTGCGCATCACCGCACCCATTCCTGTGTCTCCTCTCTCCTCCCAGGCTCCAGGAGGTCTCGTCCATTTCCCATCGCCCTGTGTCGCTGATGGCAGCGCGCCGCTCTTCTGTTACATCGCGTCAGACAGCGATGCTGTCGCGCGCGCCACGAGCTGGAGATGGTCTTGGCCCCACGCGCGGGCCCTCCGGGCTTCCTGGCCGTCTCGGGGATCGAGGGTGCTATCTCTATGACGTCACATTGTTTTGGTCTGAGGCCTGCTTGGCGAGAGCGCGCCGTCGACAGGGCTTGCCAGCACCCCTGATTCCCGACACCTTGTGCCCCCAGGGCTCGACCTGACCCGTTTTCATTTGCGATGTTGAGAGCCGTTTTCGTTTCGATGCCGTTTTGCAGCAGAGGCGGGACGAGGACAAAACGAGGGAGAACGAGAACGGAACGCGCCGTTGAGGTTGAGCCCTGTGTGGTCCAGACGGGCTGGGGGCGCTGCCTCCCCCCGCAGAGGGGCGGGGCGCCTGGCAGAGAGGCAGCGCCCCGACAGTGGAAAGCCCCGGGCGGCACAGCGGCAAAGATGGCATGCGATTGCACTGCACGGGCGGGGTACGGCAGCCACGCGCAGAGGGGGGAGGGGGGAGGGGGGAGGGCTTCTTAGAAGCTCCCCTGCTTCTCAGAAGCCGCGGGCCTTATCTATAGATGTAAGGCCGGCGCCTTCTAAGAAGCAGCCTCCTTCTCAGAAGCCTTCCCCCCTCCCTCCACCCCCTGTTGCGCACCGCCGAGCACGGCAGGCTCGCGTCGCGTCGCGTCGGCGGCGACCCCTGCGCGGGCATGCCAGGCTGAGCGCCGCCCGTGGCCCGGGAGCGGCCCATCTGTGAGCGTGCTGGCGTTTCGGAGTCGGCCCGATGCTGCGAGGTCGAGCGATCCCCGCGGTGTCGGGAGCCAGCGCCAGGGTCGACGCGGCGCGAACCTGCCGCACCGTGCTTCGGCAGCAGCTCACGGGAGCCCGACGTGCCCTCCGGAAAAAGTCCCGCCTCCAGCGTCGATCTGGCGTCCCGGGAGTCGACGAGGCAGCGCCGCTCTCGCGTCGATGAGCGTCGACCAGCGTCGATGGACCTCCTTTTGGCGTCGAGCAGCGGCGGTTCGCGAGAGCCGACAGGAGGCAAAGGGAGGCTCCTACGAGCTGCCACCGAACTGCGCGGGGGAGCGTCCGGCGGGAGACCCTGCGGGCGACGCGGGAGACCATACGGCGGGAGACCAGTGCGCTTGGCATCGCTCGGACGTGTGCACTTTTCTCTCGGCGAGGACCATCGAGGAGCATCCTTGATCGTTTGGCGAAAAAGCCACGCACGAAACCGAACAAAAGCACAGGGAACGGACGTCCGAGCGATGGCGAGTGCGGGGAATGCTCCGGGGGACCACGCGGGAGAGACCGTGCACGGGGGGGGCCTTGCGGGAGACCCCACGGGCCACGGGCCCCCGGCTCCGGATCCGAAAGGGCTCACAGCTGGCCTTCGAGGCTCGGGGCGATCGCAGTGGGGCACGGAGAGATGAGGCACGATGCCCAACATGTGATGGTTCCTTTATTCCTCGTTTTGCGGGTCGGCGCGGGCCCTCGCACCCCCCTCCCCCCCCCCCTGCCCCCCCCCCATGGAGTAGATCTCGGCTGCTTCTGGCGCCTGTTTCGAGCAGGTGGAGTCCTCCCCCATCGGACGCACTGTTGCAAACAGTCGCACTCCCCCTCCCCCCCCCTTCCGCCCAATGTCAAAACGCCGAATAAAAAACGTACACCATGTCGGGCCAAAGTGCCCCAAAAGATATGTGCAAAAGTGTCCGCAATGGGCGGACGAGTTTGCAAGACATTGCGAACTCCATGGGCAGGAAGGCTGGGGTTCCAGAGGTGGATCGTCCCATGGCTGTCTGAATTTGTAGAGGCACCAGAACCTTGGGTAGAAGGATTCGTCCCCTGAATGGGGCTTCGCACTCCTCTTCCTTCTTGCTTGCAGCATTTTTCCTATCAAGTGCTTGCGAGGTCGAAAGCAGGAGCCATGGACCCAACCCCCTGGCCACGAGAAAGGCAATCAGCAGCTTGCATTCGCTGTGCAGAGAAAGTGTGTGGGTACGATGCCAAATAGCAGTTCCTTTTCATTAGAACAGGACTCGATGTCCGCGCCGCCGCAGACGTTATTCTCTGAAGACAAAACGCCGCCCGCCCAACAGCAGACGCTATCGGTTTGGGACAACGTTTGTTGTTGGGCATTGTGCCCATGTTTTCTGTACCCATACCGGGCGTCCAGACAAACATTTTACATGACCATCACAGACAAATTGTTCGTGGAACAAGTTGGTGGCTTGGTTGTCGTACTCACGTGTTCTTCTGGTTCGCCATTTCCTTAACGGTCAGGTGGATACTGTTGCGAATCAGTTCTTTATAAGAGTACATTATTTCAAACATGTATTTGTATATACTTCTGAAAACGGTATTATGTATCCGAGACTTCCGTCGCACAACAATCACACGCAAATTGTTTGTCGATGCTTGTTTTGTTCTGGACCTTCGTCGCCGTCGTTTTTCGGCGGCGAACCTTGGGGGGGGGGAAGTGAGAAGGGGCGGGCCTTCTCAGAAGGCTCGGAAGCCTCCCGGCCTTCTGAGAAGTTTTCCAAACCTTCCCCGAAGACACAGGAAATATTTTAGAAGGCGCGAGGGCTTCTGGGAAGTCCCGCCGCCTTCTGAGAAGGCTTTCACCTTCTCACTTCATCGCTCGCTGCCGATCCGATCCGCTTCCCTCAGGGCCCCACGCCTGCATGGCGGCGCATGCAGGACGAAGCCCGGGAATCGAGGGTCAAGGTTTTAGCACGCTTGCGGGCCTGCCTTGGAGCGTCCTGGGGGGCGCCCTCGCCGCTGCGACTGCACTGCCGCCGAAGTTCTGGGCCACGCACCTCAGGAGACGTATGCACGCCGATGTTGCGGAGGAGGACCTACACATTCCCCCATCGCTCGCCGCCGAGTCTTGCCGACCGCCGTGCCGCGCTCGCCCCGGCCCCGGCGGGCGGCGGGCGGTGGGCGCGGGCGCGACGCGCGGGCCCCGCAGCGGCGCGGCGACCGCTCTCCTCCTCGTCGACCGCTCGCCCGGCAATCATCGGCAACAGAGAATGTACAGCATCTGTTGCCCTTGCACTACAGTGCGCAACAAAGCCAGTACAACATCGATTGCACAACATATGTTGCACCGCGTGAGCAACGCCACATGAATTGCTCCACGAATATTGCACCACACGCGTTGTGCCACGTAGATTGCAGAAACAAGCGGTTTGAGGCCCACGTCGGGCAACATCACATATCAAAGGGCACGAAAATCACCTTGGCGACGTACCCAACCCCTGCGCAATGCGGGGCAGGAGTAGTTTGGGAGAGTTGACGAGAAGGCAGCGACGTGACATGGCCGCATATATTTCTGCGAGCAGCATTCGAAAGGTTCGCAGGTCCCAATCAAGGGAAACACGATGAGTAACTAAGTATTGAGGAAGACGCAAGGTCCAAAAGAAAACGGTGGGCAAGGGGCTTGAAACGTCGGCGCGGCAGCACCAACATGACATGCCCCCCAAGGACGGCGAGGCCCCGTTCAGGTCTACGCAGTGCCTTACCCCGCTGGACCCACCAGCCTTCTTCAAAAGTGGCGAGCCCACCAGCAGCCCTCGACAAATGGCGGCAGTGTGGCGCCCCCAGGGACGGGGAGGTCAGCTCAGATCCCCGCGGTGCCTCAGTCCGCAAGACCCACCAGCAGCCCTCGAAAGTGGCGACAGTGTCGCAGATCGCAGCCCCCCAGGGACGGCGAGGTCCCGCTCAGATCCCCGCGGTGCTTCAGTCCGCGGGACCCACCAGCAGCCCTCGAAAGTGGCGACGGTTTCGCAGATCGCAGCCCCCCAGGGACGGAGAGGTCCCGCTCAGATCCCCGCGGTGCCTTGCTCCGCTGGACCCAGCAGCAGCCCTCGAAAATGGCGACAATTCCACAGATCGCAGCCCCCAGGGACGGGGAGGTCCCGCTCAGATCCCCGCGGTGCCTCACTCCGCTGGGCCCACCAGCAGCTTTCGAAAGTGGCGACAATTTCGCAGATCGCAGCCCCCCAGGGACGGAGAGGTCCCGCTCAGATCCCCACGGTGCCTCAGTCCGCAGGACCCACCAGCAGCCCTCGAAGGTGGCGGCAGTGTCGCAAATCGCAGCCACCCAGGGCCGGGAGGTCCCGCTCAGGTCCCCGCGGTGCCTCGCTCCGCGGGACCCACCAGCAGCCATCGGAAATGGCGGCAGTGTCGCAGATCGCAGCCCCCAGGGACGGCGAGGTCCCGCTCAGATCCGCGCGGTGCCTCACTCCGCTGGACCCACCAGCAGCCCTCGAAAATGGCGACAATTCTGCAGATCGCAGCCCCCAGGGACGGAGAGGTCCCGCTCAGATCCCCGCGGTGCCTCACTCCGCTGGACCCAGCAGCAGCCCTCGAAAATGGCGACAATTCGACAGATCGCAGCCCCCAGGGACGGGGAGGTCCGGCTCAGATCCGCGCGGTGCTTCATTCCGCTGGACCCACCAGCAGCTTTCGAAAGTGGCAACAGTGTCGCAGATCGCAGCCCCCCAGGGACGGGGAGGTCACGCTCAGATCCCCGCGGTGCTTCAGTCCGCAGGACTTACCAGCAGCCCTCGGAAGTGGCGGCAGTGTCGCAGATCGCAGCCCCCCAGGGGCGTGGAGGTCCCGCTTAGATCCCCGCGGTGCCTCACTCCGCAGGACCCACCAGCAGCCCTCGAAAGTGGCAACGGTTTCGCAGATCGCAGCCCCCCAGGGACGGAGAGTCCCGCTCAGATCCCCGCGGTGCCTTGCTCCACTGGACCCACCAGCAACCCTAGAAAATGGCGACGGTGCCGCAGATCGCAGCCCCCCAGGGACGGGGAGGTCCCGCTCAGATCCGCGCGGTGCCTCACTCCGCAGGACACACCAGCAGCCTTCGAAAGCGGCGACAGTGTCGCAAATCGCAGCCACCCAGGGACGGCGAGGTCCCGCTCAGATCCGCGCGGAGTCTCACTCCGCTGGACCCACCAGCAGCCCTCGAAAGTGGCGACAATTCTGCAGATCGCAGCCCCCCAGTGACGGCGAGGCCCGGCTCAGATCCCCGCGGTGCCTCAGTCCGCAGGACCCACCAGCAGCTCTCGAAAGTGGTGACAGTGTCGCAGATCGCAGCCCCCCAGGGAAGGCGCACACAAACTCACTCACTCTCTCTCACACACACAACACACACACACGAGGTACGCGCAGGACAAGAGGAGACAAGACGGAAGCGGGAGACAGGAGGCGGGAGGAGGAGGAGGAGGAGGAGGAGGAGGAGGAGGAGGATTGGAGACCGCAGTGCTCTATTCAAACCGAATACCCAACCAAGGAGGGTTGGGAAAAACATTTCAATCGATAAATACGCCCCAGGGGCGGTCCAAGGGCGTCTAGGCAGGTAGTGAGCGTTCTTTCTTATTCCCAGACCCCCTCGCGTTGTTGAACAAATCACGACGGGCGGTTTTTGATTACTTTCGGTTGTGAAAAAGTCACGACGGGCGGTCTTTCATTGTTTTCCGATTCCGGGGGCTCTTACTGGGCACCAGGGCCGTCAAAAAACGATTCAGGATGAAACACCGGTCCCAGGCAAGGGGCCCAGACCTCTGGAGGTCGACGTTGCGACAACACTCACGAACGACGTCGGGGGCAAAGTGGGCCCCTCAACGGGGACTTCAATAAACAAGGACATCGGCGTGCCCAAGAAAATTGCAGTCGTGGTCTGGAGCATTCTACATTCTTTGTTCTCTTCAGGTGGGATGTTCATAGTCTTGGTTGGTAATGTCTTGGTCTTGTGGGTCCTGGAGAGAAACAGGGAGGTGAGGTGGGAAGCGGGAGAGAGGCAGAAGGACGCGAGGGCGAAAAGGAGCACGAGGGGGGGAAAGGAGCAGAGGCAAAATTAAGGGAGGTACTTCCAAGACGCTGAAAGTTGGACGGACCACTCTGGGCTCAGGCGGGGCTCTGGTGTCAGGGGGGCGGGGCAGCGTTGAGTCGGGCATGTCCCTCTGCAGGAGGAATGTTAAGGAATGGTAGAGAAATAGTTCTGGGCGCGATTGTTCGACTATTTGTTTGCTATTCTTGATTACCCCGAGTTTCTTGGTAAGCGTCGGAGGGGAGCACCCCCGCCGACAGCCCCACATCGACCCCCGTCGCGGGCAGCCACCGCGCGCCGAAGGCGCTCCGACCCCCGTCGCGGCGTTGGGGGAGTTCCCCCCCCATGCTGATTCAGAAACCCAGAGTATGGTTTGACTATTTTTCATTTTCCCTCCAAGTTCTGCCTGTAGGAGGACATGGCCGACCCAACTGTAGGCTCAGGGGGCCTCGCAACGACCCCCATCGCCCATTCCTCACCGACGGGGGGCTTGTTGCCCCACCCGCCCAGGAACGGGCAGATCCGCGATCGAGAGTCTGTCGCAGATCTATCCGCGGCGTGTCGCCGATTCCAGGTCGACGTCCTCGCCGATTACAGGAGCCGAGGTCCCCCCTGGATCGCGCCCCTGTGAAGGCAGGGGAGGCGGAGGGCGGGGGAGGGCTCGGAGGAGCGGGGAGGCCCAGGGCAGGGGGAGGGAAGGAGGGAGGAGAGGAGCAGGGGAAGGAGGAGGAGGAGGAGGAGGAGGAGGAGGAGGAGGAGGAGGAGGAGGAGGAGGAGGAGGAGGAGGGGTCGACCCAAACGGCGCCCTGGCGATGTCGCGGGCCGCTGTCGTGTCGGGCTCGTCTTGCAGCGACGGCGGCTGGAAGACAAACCAAAACGAGGGAAAACGTTCGGGGGAGCCCCCCAGGGGGCCACGAAGCGTGTGAGGGGCGTGCCAAACTGAAGGGGGTGACGGGAGGAGGGAGGAGGAGGGAGGAGGGGGGGGAGGAGGAGGAGGGGGGAGGGAGGAGGAGAGACGCGGGGCGCTGTCTCTCCACAGCGAGGACCCAACACCACAGGATGGTTGGGAACAAAACGAAAAACCAAAAACACCCTTGTGGGCGATCCCTGGCCCAAGGTAGCCGCGTCTCGGTCGTTCCGGCTGCGTCGCAGTCGGCGGCTCGGTGCGGGCGGCTGTCGCGCCGCGTCGCCGCTGCGCTGCCGCGCCCGTTTCCGGGGCTGCTCGTGCGCCCCGTCGGTCGCGGTCTCGGTGTCGGATGTCGGTTTGAGGTCGTTGCGGGCGGCCTTGTGGATGCACATCGGCGGCGAGCGAGGGGGGGAAGCGAGAAGGAGAAGGCCGTCTCAGAAGGCGGCGGGGCTTCTCGGGGACCCTCGCGCTTCTGAGCGTTTTTTTTTCTGTTTTCGGGGAGGGCTGCACAATTTTCTCAAAAGGCCAGGGGACTTCCGAGCCTTTGGAGAAGGCCTTCTTCTGCTCACTTCCCCCCCCCTCGCTCGCCGCCGAGCATAGGCTTCTACCCATGGGGGCCTCCCTGCCTGACTTTGGATCATGCTTCCGCCAGACAAGGGGGAGGAGGTGCGCGGTGCCGACCACTGCCCCGGACCATTTCGGAATGAGCAGCCCGGGGGGAGCTGGAAGAGGGTCCACAGCAGGCTGCACGCCACGAGATCCAGAGCCCAGCGCCCCAAACAAAAAAAAAAAAAACGTCGGACGAACAGACCCTGATTCTCCAAGGCGGTAAGTGTGCCCTCGCGTTTTTTGGTGCTTTGAGTTTACCGTTGTCGATTGGGATGCGCCGCTCCTCTTCCTCCTCCTCCTCCTCGTTCTCCTCCTCGTCCTCCTCTTCCATTCTCCTCCTCCTCCTCCCTGGCCCTTTTCCTCCGGGGTCGAGGGAGCGCAAATCAGGAGGGGGAACAAAAACACGGACACAATGAATCCCCATTCTCCTCCTCGTCCGCCCCTTCCCTCCTCCTCCTCCTCGTCCTTCTCCTCGTCCGCCCCCTCCCCACTCCTCCTCCCTGGCCCTTCTCCGGGGGCGAACCTCCCGAGGCCCCGAGAACACGAGCCGCTCGTCGCGACGGCGCGGTGCGCGCAGGTGGATGGCCCAGATGCCTAGACTACTGCTTGCGTTAAGTCGGGCCTGCCCCTCTACAGGAGGAATATCCAAAAATAGTAAAAAATAGTCTGGGGACTATTTTTCGAATATTTGTTTTGCCATTTGGGGGTACGTGGGGGGTATTCTGATCTTTCGTCGAACATCCCCCTGTAGGGGGACACGCCCGACTTACTGCTTGCGCCATCTGCAGGACCAGGACGTGGTCCGCAAGCTCGACGTCGGCCCGGAGCAGCGCTGGCAGGCTGCCGTCGACCTGGCGGCCGACTGGATGATCGACGCGAAAGGCGGCGTACCGAGCGGGGGGAGGCAGGGAGAGAGACCGAGAGAGAGAGAGAGAGAGCAACAGAGAGAGAGAGAGAGAAGCAATACAAAACGCAGAAAGAGAGAGAGAGAGGGGGAGTGGCAGCAGCGGTATATGGTATACAAATTCCCCAACAGTGCTTGCGCTGAGTGGGGGGGGGCTCGTGCCTCTGGTCTCGATAGACCTGGGCGTGTGTGTCGGCCGTCGCCGCCCCGTCGCTCCCCCTGCGGCGCCGTGCCCCCCGTCCCTCCGTGCTCCCCCTGCGGACCCGTGCCCCCCATCAGTCGCCCCGCCGCCCCCCCCCCTTGCGGCTCCGTGCGGGCCATCGCCCCCCCCCACTCGCCGCCCCGTCGCTGCTCTTGCGCGTCGGTCTGGCGGCTCCGTGCCCGCCGTCGCCCTCCCGCCCCCCAGGTCGCCGCCACGTTCAGGCAGCGGCCGATGGTGTGGGCCTACCGAGCAGTGTTCTGAGAACCGTGTGTGGTCTCCACGACATGTTCTCCGAACACTTCTGAATGGGACCGTCTTGTTTTAACACGTCCGGCTCATGTTCTAAGAACATGGTTCTTGCTCTTAGAACAGTTTGGGGATTCTACGAACATTGCGTGGCAGGCCTATAGAGATGACGGGACGGTCGGTCCCTGCTCAACCCCCCGGTCGCTGCCTCGTCGCCGCCCGTCGCCGCCCGTCGCCGCCGATGGATTGCACCACGTAGACTTGTAAGTCGGGCACGTCCCTCTACAGGAGGAAGATCCAAAAATAGTTTAAGACATAGTCGGGGGACGGTTTTTCAATTGTTTGTGGACTATGTTTGAGCATTTTGGGGGTTCGCCCACAATCCGCCTGTAGGGGGACACGCCCGACCTAAACGTAGACCGCAAGAATAGATCACCCTCGCGGCGCGCTTTTCGATCGCTCGCGACAGAAGTTGCACCACCCCTGCTGCACAGCATAAGTTGCTCCACCTAGATTGCACAACATACGTTGCACGTACACACACCGTGCAGCATATAGATCGCACAGCATTATTTGTACCATACATGTGTATACACATATGTACACATATATGTAGATGTTGCAGAACATCTGTTCAAGTGGCTTACGCCTTCCGCCGACCCCCACATGGAGCGATTGTTTGAGATGATCGTGGAAGCGATCTCGACTTGCACAGGAGCCTCCTGGATGAATCTGAGGGTCTCTTGGGATGCCTCTCTGGAGCCTCTTGGAGAACTCTTGGGGGCATCTGGGGGGCTTTGGGGGGGCCTCGTTGGAGCCTGTGGGGGGCTTCTTGGGGGCGTCTCGGAGGCCTCTTGGAGAAGCCTCGGGGGCTTCTGGGGTGCTCGAGGGGCCATCTTGGTAGGAAAGGCTCGACATGTCAGTTCGTATTCCCCCTCCTGGGCTCTCTTGAAGACCTTTTGGGGCCCTCCAGGGGCTGCCTTGGGCCGTCTTGGGAGGCTTCCAGGGCTGTCTTACGGCCCTTTCGAGCCGTCTCGGGGCCTTCTTGGGGGCACTGTGGGCCGTCTTGGGACGATCTTGGGGGCCACTTGGGCCGCCGTGTTCGCTGTCAAAACGTAAAATGCGGATGTGCTGAAAATGCATGTGTTTCGAAATGGAAGGGGATGACTTTGGCCTCGTGGGTCCCTCTCGGCGATCCTTTGGAAGCGTTTTTGGCCTGTCTTAGCTTAGGGGACCTTGTGGACCATCTTGAAGCCATCTTGGATCGTCGTGGGGCTACCCTGGGCCGTCATGACGCTCTCTTTGACCGGCTTGGGAGCCCTGCGTGGCCCCTGTTGGGCTGTCTTGGGGCTTTGGGGGGGCTCCAGAGGCCCCAGGGGTGCGTTGACGAGCTCGTGCCCCCGCCCCCCCGGAAGGGCATTTTGGACCCCAGGGGAGGGGGAAAGGGGGACGGGGAGAACCAAATGCTTCACACGCCTTTTCACCACCGGCAAGCGAGGGCCGGCGGATCGCACAATCACATAGACTGCACCACTGCACCACACATATTGCACCGCATCGATTGCACCACATCGGTTGCACGATTGTGTGTTTCCGTACCTGCGGCGCGCTTCTTGATCACTCACAAATTTGATTGCGCGACGTGCATTGCACAGCATAGACTGCGCCACATATACTGCGCGAAATAAGTCGAGCCACACAGCGCCCAGTACATCTCTTGCACAGCACCGGCTACATCACATATAGTGCCCAACGTAGATTGCACAACACATGTTGTTAGAAACAAACTGGTTGGGGTCCACGCTGGCTAACATATATATATATATATATATATATATATATATATATATCTATGTTTAGATAGCTCTGTAAATATATGTGTTTATGTATTAGTATAGGCATGTGGGCGCAGATGTATGCACAGATCTGTACAGAGAGAGAGGGAACAAAGAGCAAAAGCGAGAGACAGGGAGAGAGCACACAGAACAGGGGGCGGGCAGCTCCGAAGGCAGGACCCGGAGGGAAGGCAGGATGTGGAGGGCCTCGCCCGTGTGTCTGGCATGATCCCATCTTCCCTCTCCCCCGGGAACCATCTCGCGCCCTTCCGCGCACGAGGCACCAGCCGCCCTGGGAAGCTGCCCAGGGACGGTCAGTTTCACAGCACCCGCCCCCCTTCTGCCTGACCCGGCGTACTTGGACGGCCGCACTGTCTTCGGGAGCCCTGAGACGGGGTTTCGGGAGCCTTGAGACGGGGGTCAATGCCAACGGAGGTCAGCCAGGGCACCAGATCCTGCAGGATCCTGCGAAGACCCCCTCTGGCTGACCCGGGTTAGCGAGCCGCTCGTGGCCGCGAGCCGGCCGCGCATCTTGGTTGACCCCGGTTTGCGAAGATCTGCGATGCAGGTTTGTGTTCCTGCATTGCAGTTTTTGGTTTCCTGCTGACCCGGGTCTGGCTTGACCCGGGACAGAAGATCACCGATGGACCATCGCCACGGAGTTTCAGGGTTCTGGGGGGGCGTTCCTGGTCCCCCGCTCCCCCCTCTGCGACCCGTAGCTTACAAGAGAAGCCTCAGGAGGCGCCCGCAATGCCACCGAAGCGGCCTCAAGAAGACTCAAGAGAACCCCAGAAGGGCTCGAAGAGGGTCCACGAGGCTTGGGGGGTGGGGCGTTCCTGGTCCCCCGCTCCCCCGGGTTCCGGAACCCAGAACCCCGTGGAACATCGCCACGGAGTTCCGGGCTTGGCGCTTCCGGCCCGAGCGTGGGAGCCCCGGGCAGGCCTACGCCGGCCCAGGCCCTCAGTGGTGGGGGCCCCGGGCCTTGGAGGCCAGGGCTCGGCGAGAGCAGGGGCCACATACAGTCGGGGCCTTGAAGAAGGAACCCTTTTCGTTGGGGAGGGGCTCGGTGTTCCTCGATCGTTTTGCAGTTTCCCTTAGGTTTTCCATGGGAAATCGAAGTTTAACTTAGGGGAAAAAGGGGCCTCGTTCCTTCTTCAGGGTTCCTTAGGTCAACGCCCCGACTGTAGCGCCCGCTCTCCGGCATTCGCATCGGCACGACGCCCGGCGAGGCAGCGCCAGCGTCGTCGTCGTCGGCGCCGTCGTCGTCGGCGTCGGCGTCGTCGTCGTCGTCGGCGTCGGCGTCGGCGTCGTCGTCGTCGTCGTCGTCGTCGTCGGCGTCGTCATCGTCGGCGTCAGCGTCGTCGTCGTCGTCGCCGGCGGCGCCCCCGGCGGGAGCAGCCTCGGCCGCCCGCGGGGAGGCACCGTGGTGGTCTCCACGGGCGCGGGCATCTCGGCGGAGAGCGGCATCCCGACCTACCGGGACCCGGGCGGGCTGTGGGAGGCGTGCGCGCGCGGAGGGGCTCCGAGGGTCGAGGGGCCCGAGGGCCGAGGCTCCGAGGGTCGAGGCTCGACGAGCGAGGTTCCGAGGAGTGACGTTCGAGGGTCGACGTTCGAGGGTCGAGGTTCGAGGAGCGAGGCGCGAGGAGCGAGGCGCGATGAGCGAGGCGCGGGGAGCGAGGAGCGAGCAGCGAGGAGCGAGGAGCGAGGAGCGAGGAGCGAGACACGAAGATCGAGCGGGGAGGGGGTAGGGGGAGGGGTAGCCCGCTCCCCCGACGGGGAAGACCTCGGTTAGCAGAACAAACTCATTAAACCACCTACGCCGAGATGGCTGGTTAGACTGCCCAAGATCTGCTTGCACCCTCGGGGTGGGTTCTCGAAGCCAGTTTCGGGCCTCGGGACTGTCAAAGAACGACTCCTGCTGAAAAGCCGGCCCGGAGGAAGGGGTCAGGAAGTCTGGAGGGGCCGTTCATCGATCAAATCGAAGCGCTTGGTGCACGGGTGGCCAAATCAAACCTTACGCCCGGGTATTCACAGCACGCACGGCAATCAAGTAGGCTCAGCACTGACGGCAACAATTCGGCCCCAGGTGCGGGGGCGCGGAAAGCGCTGGAGCGTCGCCAGAAATGATTGGGGGGGTCTCAGTTGCTTCCAGGGGTTCCCCCCAGGATCTCCCGGGAGGACCACAGCCCGGACCCCCCCCGCGTCGTCGAAGAGCTCACGCCCTGCCAAGACGTGCCCAGTGCACCCCCCCCGCTGTCGGCGTCGGGCCCGCCCTGGCGCGGAGGGAGTCGTCGGCATCTTGGGCCTTGCGGCGTGCGCAAGGGTGGCGGTGCGCGTGGGACGTCGTCGTCGTCGTCGTCGTCGCCGTACGCCGTACGCCGTATGCCCGCCGCCCCCCTCTGCGTGCCATCGCGGCCGTCGGCTTGCGCTGCCGTCGCTCGCCGTCGCGCTTAGGGGGGGGGGTCTTTGAGAGGGGGGGTCGGGCGAGAGTCGCTGGTCGCTGCGCAAGGTTTACGACCAGATGGAGGTGTCTCACATCAAAGGCTTTGCGCGAGATCCAATGAAGTGCTGGTCCCGCACTCTTGCTTTCGCGGCAGTGCTCTGCAAGTTTCCTCGTCTGCATGCCGTGGCAGCAGCTGCAGGTGGGAGCGTATGTGTGTGTGCAGACATCTACGTTAGACGAAAGGGCATGATGCGCACGCGTCTTGAACACATCGCAAACCCTCATGCATGTTCGATGGCTTCTGAAAGAGCAAGCTTGGAATCCACCGTTGTTGTCGATCCTGGGGTGTCTCCCGCCGTGTCTGCTGGACGAGGATGTGCGCATGGCGTAGGTGTTTCTTCCGTGCAGTCCTCATCTGTCCTTCTCGTTCTCCGTCACCCCCTCTCCCTCACCCCCATGCTCGGTAGCGTGTCATTCGTTGTTACCGCTGATTTCTCTCCATCTCTCTCTCTCTCTCTCTTTCTCCTTCTCTCTCTCTCTCTCTCTGGCTATTCCCTCCCCGCTATGTCTGTCACTCGTTGTTGTTTCTTCTCTCGCTCTCTCTCTGTCTGTTTCTCTCTCTCTCTCTCCGTTTTTTTATACCTCTCTCTCTCTCTCTTTCTCTCTTTCTCTCGTTATCTCCCTCCCTTGTTCTTCGTCCCTTGCCACCCTTTCACGTTCTTCGTTCTGCTGCGCTAGCGATCGTGCTCCCCTTCTCAAGTTTAAGAACACCCATGACGACCCACGAGACCTCCGGAATAGCCTCAAGATGACCTGGACGAGCCCCAAAAGGACTTCAAGACGGCTCCTAAGACGGCCCAAGAGGGCGCGCCCTGAGATGGCTCAAACAAGCCCTTCCGACGCCTCCCGGATTGTGAAAAGGTCGCGGAAGCCAGCCGTGGTTGGCAGCAAGGTGGCCCCAAAAAGTTGTCGGAGGCCTTCGTGTCTGCCCAGGAGCCGGATGCCCCAGAGAAGGCCCCCGACCTGGGAGAGGCGCCCGAGAGGCACGCCGTAGAGGCCACAAAAGGCCACGGGAGGCCGCAAGTTGGCTCGCCAAACCAGCTGCGCCCGGAGGGCTGGTGGGATCAGTCGACCAGTCATTGAAACGATGAAGCCGTCAACCAGCTAGGCCCCCAGTCCGTCAACCAGTTCGCCAGTCAAGCGGTATATCGAGCAACCGATCCATCGGCCGATCGACCAGACAACCGAGTTGGTAATCAAACAGTCAGTCCATCATGTTGGGTGTTGGCCGGAGTGCCGGGAGGTGCACCGATTTTGGTCAGATATGCGGCTCCAGAGATGCCTAAAATCGTCGTGATCCCCGCGTTCCCCGCGTTCGCCGCTCCGAGCGCCGCAGACGTCGAGCCTTGGTGTCCGCACGCATGTCCGCTCGTCGCATCGCAGCTGGCACAAGGGTTGAGAGCAACCCTTTAGTCTTAAGTCGGGCATGTCCCTCTACAGAAGGAGTATTCAAGAATGGTACAACAGTAGCATGGGGACGATTTTCGACTATTGTTTGACGACTGTTGGTTCAGTGTCGACTCTGTTTGATTTGTCCTCCAAACTCCGCCTGTAGGAGGACATGCCAGACCTAACTTTAGTCTGGGAGGTGTCCTTCTGTCACAGTGGAGACCCATGCCAAGAAACACCCTGCTTGCCTCTGGGGTGCCCCCAGTTTCTTGGATTCGATGGTTTTGCGATGGAAAGTGTGACGTTCCCATACCAAAAAACAATGGACGTCTTGGGGTCTCAGGGTTGGGTTTCTTGTGGAAGGCTTCTCGTGGTCGAGCTCCTGGGAGGTGCCCTTGTGCGGTCCGTGTTCGGCTTGGAGAAATCGGGCTCTACATCGAGCCGCATCGCCGATGAATTGACGATGCGGCGCGATCCTCAGCAGGAAAGAAAGCACACAGACACAATTAATCGTCGATTCCCCCCGAAAATATGCTAAAATACGGGATGTGGCGGGGAAGAGAAAAACCCAGAAAATATGATAAAATATGGGGAATCCTTTTATTTGTGTGTATTTATTTGTGTGTGTGTGTGTGTGTCCCAGGGCCCCTTCAGATCCTCCGGCCCCATCTGCTCGGACCCCATCTGCGCGGCCTCTGTGTGCACGCCCGCGACGCTCCCGGCCAGGCCGATCCGGGCCCCAGGAGGACGAGGACGACGCGGAGGAGGACGTGGAGGAGGAGGAGGAGGAGGAGGAGGAGGAGGTGATGAGGAGGTGGGGGAGGAGGAGGAGGAGGATATTGGCGGATTACACAGCCTTGAGGGTGGCTGGCCCCTGTGCGAGTTGGCACCGTAAAGAGCGTTACTTCTCGGTGGTGTCTGATGCCCCTGTCGTGGGGGGATAAAAGAGGCGGCCGCCAACCGAGAGGGGCTCGCGTGTTGCCTCTGTCCGAGGGCGCCGAAAAGACGGCCACCTTTCGAGAGACACCTGTGACAGGTGGTGAGACCCTTTGGGAGTGGGTTTGCCTGCTCGGGCAAGCAATGGGAATGAAATGGTCGTCGGTTGGGCGAGTGCGCTGGGGTCTCCAGCGAGAGCCTGGAGTGGGAAGGCAGGTGGGATATCGGGTAGCGGAAAGGAATGCGATGATGGAAGACACAGAGGTTGGGGGGTGAGATCGCAGAGGAAATGAGAACGAAAGAGAGACCGATAGAAAAAATCAGCAGCAGGAAGCACGCATCATACAGCGAAGACCGGAGCGAGAATGTACGAGAAGCTGGGGGCGGCGAAATCTAGTTCAGGGGCGCAGGGGTGCGTGCAACTCCCCGCCTGTGAGCCGAGCGGTTGATTGGACACAAGAATGGGTTTCCCGCTGTCCGGGCGACCAGAGGAAAAAGATGAGAGAATGGCACGGGGGAGTAGACGCGAAGCTTGGACACCCGATTTGGGGCTGCAAGACATCAGTGCCACAAGTAACGCTACGCGAAGTCGCGCAAGGTGCGGGTGAGAATGTGGCGCAAGCTGTTGCGCCCGGCCATCGCCCTTGTATCTTGGTTTGAGTGTTGGACGGCCCTGAAGGGCATTCCATGGGCTGACCAATGGGCGAGCCACACACACAAGTGTAAGGTTTGAGCGGCCTGTTGAGAGGCCACTGGAGGGCATTTCCTTGGGCGGAAACGTGGGCGAGACACATGCGTATTAGAATGTTGAACGGCCCTGAACGTCATTCCACTGGCGGTTGCACGGGCGAGCCAAACACAGCGTGGTAAATGCCACGGGGACGGCACGCCGTGACACGCTTTCGCGAGATGGAGGAGCCGGGCCGTGCCTGATGAAATGCCCTCCAGGTTCCATGGGAAGCCTGAAATGGTCTACTGTCACAACCGTTAGGGCCGAA